GACTTACATACAGATTCAACTTAAGAAACCCAGGCGTCCCCAAGTCAGCTGCTGCTGAAACTGATCAGCGGCTGATTCCAGGAAGCCCGGGGCAAAGCAGCTCTGCCTCGGGCTTCCTGTAGTCAGCCGCTGGTCAGTTTCAGCAGCGGCTGAATCGGGGACACCTGGGGTACAATATGCCCCAGTTCCGACTTACATACAAATTCAACTTAAGAACAAACCTACAGTCCCTATCTTGTACGTAACCCGGGGACTGCCTGTACTACAAAGTGGTATATTTGGAAGCCCGGGGCAAAGCAGCTCTGCCTCGGGCTTCCTGTAGTCAGCCGCTGGTCAGTTTCAGCAGCGGCTGAATCGGGGACACCTGGGGTACAATATGCCCCAGTTCCGACTTACATACAAATTCAACTTAAGAACAAACCTACAGTCCCTATCTTGTACGTAACCCGGGGACTGCCTGTACTACAAAGTGGTATATTTCTGTCTTGTCACATTCAAAATAACTGTTTATAACAAGTTCACCAATTTGCTTTAATTCTTTAGAAACAGTACTATTATCTTAAATGTTCTAAGTAAAATCCCTAGTTTCTCAAATGATTTTTAATAAAGTTTGTCTTCAAAACTATAGGAAGCCCAATTGTAGAGAAACTGATCTTCATTGAAACTTAATACAGATTCTGAGGAAGGAGAAAGAAGTAGTTTTTAGCAAAATCTCTTCTAAATATAAAGTAAACTTAAATTACATTTGAAATTATTTGCAAGGGATTGGATAGTTTATGACTGATACATAATATGGAGTTTCTTACTTGCCCTCCTCCAGATCATGGGTAGTAACCAATAGTAATTACCATTTGATAGCTATCATATATGACCTTTTATGAAATTATCTTATTTGATTTAGATGGCTATGAATGTATATAAGGGATCATCATAATTTCTGATAGGTTGGTAGCCTCGGTAGAAAACTTCTTAGGGAATAACTAACATGAGCTACTTATACTTCTGTAAAAGTGCCTTCCCTGAAGTAGGGTTGAGGCACACTAATTGGGGGTCTTGTATAGTGGCAATGAAGAATATCTATCTTTATGTGAACTGAGTACTGTATGTTTGATACCTTTCTTGAGACCAGTTAAAACAAATGTATTATCTCAGTGCTGTTCTTGAACTTAATCACTTTCAACATATTACTAAATTTATCAGGTTCTGCATGTGTTTAAACTCCTTAGTAAATCAGAAAATTAAATGACAAACTTACAACTGGTTAATACTATAAAGGCAATCTCTTCAAAACAAAACCTCTTGATAAGACACTCTTTTATCCAAGCTGTAATGTTCCCCCTCTGAGATCTTATTTAGACAAGGTTGTCTAGAATAGCTTTCATTTCAATTTCTTCTTTCAGTGGGTACCACTTCAACTGTAACACTCATGATAAAAAATCAGTAATCAGCCAGTAGCTATTTTTCAGTTTTACTTTCTTCTCAATATTCAGAGAAATACAATGACTTGTTGTCAGACAGATTTTGTCACTCATCCAACCATAATAGTAGTAATTTACCTGAGAAAAGCAGTTCAGTGTGTTTTGGAGTCAAAATAATATTTTGGTGCAGTTTTGACAAGTATTCACTTCTAGCTATAGCTCAGATGAACCTTCAGCTGCTTATGTCTGCTTTTCTTCATTTCAGTGTTAATGCTTTGGCTTGTGAACAGAAAGATGAAATATTGACACAGCTCCAGTCCATTAGACAGCTGATGAAGGAAAGTGGATTGGATAAATCAGAAACAAAACTAAAAGGTACTTTTCTCAATGTTGTAGACCCTTATTACAGTAAAATCAGTGTTCTGCTTACTTAAGTTGTAAAATAATTTAATGATCAGTTCATACATGTTGGATGCAATACAGTTCTTATTTCAGACTACTGGATATTATCAGACAGTATTTTAAAATCTTATTTTTGTCATTAGTTGTATTCGATGTAAAAGTAGCAGCTCACATCTTATCTGAGATGTAGCTAGTTACAAACTGAGACATTGGATCTTTAGAGAGAACACATCTTAATTTTACCAGAATACAATTAGAACCAGAAGTCATCTGCTGCTTTGTTAGTGAGACTGAAATTATCTGAATGCATCATGAGCTTTCAGTCGGTCCTAATGCATTAGTCAGACTTTTTTGAGGAATTAGAACTGAAACATCTAAGAATACCTTTCGAAACTGAAAACCCTATCACTAATCTTAAATCTCCATTTTCTTTTTTTGTAAACTAAGATGTTAATCACACATGTAATGACAAACTTGAAGATCTCATTCAGTCACTTGACAAACACACTCAGGAAAAAACAGATGACAATGAAGATCACAGTATTAAAGATCTGCTGGAAGATACTGATGATGGTTGTTACAGAAAGGAAGAGCATGAACTGTGTGATGATGAATTCACTTGTAGTCAGCTGGTTGAGCCAAAGGTGATGAAAGTGCAAGAAATAACAAATAAACAGACACTGGAATCAGAAGAGACTGAATTAAGGAGACGCAATAAATATGAATTGAATATTCATATATAAAATGTTCAAAATTAAATAATTGTTGCACATAGAATTGTATGCATTTTTTTAAAATGTTCTATCACTTGTATATTCTTTAAAAGTAGAGGTGAAATCCTGCCCCGTTCAAGTCAGTGGCAGTTCTGCAGTTGACTTCAGTGGGTGGCAGGCTTCATCTAGAATGTTTACACATATTTTCTATTTATTTTTCCTATAGAAAATATTTCTGTACTGCTTGTATATCATACACTGAAATTACACACGGTGCTTCATTAAAGCATCAAGATTTCTTAATGCAATATTTGATTTCATACCTAATTAAAACTAAGAGGAATTGATATAATTTGTAGTGATTATTTTAAATATAGAAATCCTAGAGTAATTGTCTTTCTGGAATTGTACATGCAAACTGAGGAAAGTAACTTCTGCATGTCGTTTTTTTAGATACTTAGAGGAACTCAAAATAATTCTGATTATATTTCTGTACCTTTACAAACCCTGTAGGCATACTGTCATACTCTCTTGAAAGAAAATCAAAATGAGTATTGTAGGGCTGTCCTTTAAATAATATCATTTTAATAACTCTTTATCTGTAGAACGTTATATTAAATGTAATTCTCTTGCATAATCAATTTAAAAATGTAAGTTCATTTATTTAGTCTTTATAAGGTACTACATTTGCAATAGTGTGGAAATTGTGGATTGCACAATATTAAGCTTCCTCCGCAGTTTTGTTTTAAATTATCTTTCTTTGCACAGTCCAGTTTTGCCTACATTTTGAGGTTTTCAGCATGCTTCCCCTCTCCCTCCACTGGTGCATTCAATAATCTTGGAGAGTTTTGGACAGGGCTGTAACCAGAATGGGACGAGTAGGGCAGCCTCCCTGGACACAAATCCAGGAGTGTGGGGAAGATCAGAGTGGAAAAATGGGAGGAAAATGGGGAGATTGCTCCTTGAATGGGCATGGTATTGTCACCCTTACTTCTGTACTGTTGTTGGTGGCAGTGTTTGCCTTCAGAACTGGGTGTTTGGAGAGTGGCAGCTGCGGGCCAGGGACCCAGTTCTGATGGCAGCGCCACCACCATCAGCATTGCAGAAGTTAAAGGTGGCAATATAATCTACCCCCTACTGCTTTTACTTTTTTCCCTTTTTTGCTTCTGCCTCATCCTTCATGCTTTTGTGCCCTTCAGAGGCTACTCTGCTTGCCCCGCCTTGGTTACAGCACTATAGCTGCATCAAACTGTCCTATTTTTTTTAAAAGGCATAACATAATAATTGAATTTTATTCTGGCCGTTTTTTCTTAAGTCAACTACGGCTTTTTCCAAATTACAGATACTACTTTTCTATGACTTTTTCCATGTCTTGTCCATAGTTCAGCTGAAGGAAGATCATACTGCAATTCAGGTAGAGTTTTAATTATTTAATATGAATTGCCAGAACAAGTTCAGTTATTAATAGAAGCTCTAGAACTTAAATCTACACAATATAACCTTCAATATGTATACAAAGTAGATATAGGATAACTCTTTATCTACTAGTGAAGTGTAGCCATCTTAACAGTGCTAAGAAGAACAGACAGGACTGTCATCCAAGCTTATCCAGAGAACAGAAGGATGGGCTATCTGTCAAGAGCTAATTTATGGGATGTGGATCTGAACTTGAAGAAGATTTTAAGGAGTATTTCATGAGGGAACAAATGATATTGCTAGATTCTCAGTGGAATGCATAAAGAGAGACTATACCAGGCTGGGCAAAACACTTAAAGAAGTGGAGGCTCAGGTGAACTTCAGTGGGATTCAGCTTTCTCCTAGAGGAGGAAAGCCAAGGTGAGACAAAATTATGATGTTCAACGTGTGATTCAGGCAGTGGTGCATAAAGAGGGTTTTGGGATGTTTGACCACTGAGATATTCATGGATAGAGAACTGTTCTCATGGGATGGTCTCCATCTGAGTCGAGATGGAAATAGACTTCTGGGTTGGAAGTTGGCAAAACTGATTAAAAGTTTTAAAATAGGAACTCGGGGAAATTGTAGGAAGTTGTTCATGTAATGTTCATGCCTGATTCAAATGTTGACTGGGATAAAATCAAGAAAGAGAATACAGCAATGGGTAGGAGAATGAACATTAAGAGGAAAGATAATGTTGATATAACCTACCTGTTAGCTTCATCGGTATTGTCAGTAGAATGGCTGTACCCAATCCGGTGAGGAAGCCAAGCGAAGCCAAGCAAAAACAACTGAGGTGTTTATATACCAGTATAAGGAACCTGGGTAATAAAATGAAGGAACTAGAATTACTGGTTCAGGGAGTGAATGGGTATAACAGAAATATGATGTAATAGTAGTTGTGATTGGAGTACGAGTATTGAAGGGTAGGTGCTGTTCAAGAAAGACAGAAATAAACACAAAGGTGGTAGAGCAAAATATTTACAATGAGGTAGATAAAAATTAGACATGATTAAATGGACCAGATAGCTTTCTTCCCAAAAGTGATTTTGGCCCGTAACAGGCTAACATAGGTTTCCAAGGGCTAGTGGTTGGGGCATAATTCATAAAGCCAGGATCCAATTTGAATATGGATAGAAACCTCTTTAATGTTGGTAATAAATGCTACGGGGATTTATGTGATTATGGGAGACTAATTTCCCTGATATAGATTGGACGACAACTACAACTAGTAATAGGAGGACCCAGATTTTCCTGAGCATAATAGCTGGCAGATTTCTTCACCAAACAGTCACTGCACCAACAAAAGTTGATGCCATATTAAATTTGGTGTTGGTGAGCAGCGTGGACCTCCATAGCTGATTGTAGGGGACAACCTTAGGTCGAGGAATCATGAGCTAGTTCAGTTGAAACAAAAGGAAGAATAAACAGAGACATGCGTCTAGTTCCTTGATTTCAAAATGGCAAACTTAAAAAAATTAAGAGAACTGACTAGGGAAGATGACTAGACTGGAGAGCTTAAGGCTGTGAATATGTGATGAAGGGTTGGAATTACTTGTCACAATTGCAGAACCTAACTGAAGCCAACATCAAGCAAGGGGATAACATTCGTAGGGAAGGGTTACAGACCAAGCTGAATGAGTAAGCATTTCAAAGAGGTTATTAAGAAAAAGGAGAACGCCTACAAGGAATAGAAGATTTGGTTAGATCAGTAAGGAAAGATGCTGCTTGGAGGTCAGATGGTGTAGGGGAAAAGTGAGAGTTGCCAAAAGCCAAGTAGAGTTGGACCTTGTGAAAAGGATTAAAAGTAAAAGGTTCTATAGCCTTATAAGTAAAAAGAAACCAAGGAAAGAAGTTGGACTGCTGAGCACTGAGGTTAAGGTGGAAATTAAAGATAACCTAGGTATGGCACAACACTTAAACTGAGGCAAAGTGTTTTTAGTAAGGGATAATGAGATGCTTAGTGATGGATCTTGTCTTCACTCTGCGGCAGATCGACACTGCTGAAATCAGTCTTCTGGAGTTTGATTTAGTGAGTCTGGTTAAGGCTCAAACTCAGAGAGCACCCTTCCCCCCGCCCCCCAAAGATCTGATACTCCTGCTCTTGCGAGGAGTAAGGGAAGCTGATGGGAGTATTTGCTTCTGTTGGCCTCCCACTGTGGGGATGCCACCAAGCTTGTCTTAAGGTAAGTCAAGTTTAGCTATGTATTATATGCAGCTGGAGTTACATACCTTAAGCCAAGCTGCTGGGTGTACTGTAGACTTGGCCAGGGTGCCTAGTGGTAATGAGGTTATGGAAGTAGAAATTACCATATCTGAGGTGGAAGTGAAGCTCAAACATCTTAATGGGATTTAATCAGGGAGCCTGGATAATCTCCATCCAAGAATATATTTAAAGGATCTGACAAATGAAATTACAAGCCCAATAGGAAGGATTTGTAATGAATATGTGAATTCTGGAGTTGTGCCCTGTCATAAATAATTGCTGCTAAGGAAAGTCTGACTTAACTGAAAAGAGTGAGGAAAGGGTTAAGCAACTGGAGAGTCACCTGAGGGAGCGGGCTTGGACATTCAGCCAACGAAATGCAGATAGAAAATACAGGACTATGTAGCACTTTAAAGACTAACAAAATGCAGATAGGAATTTCAAACCAAGAGAAGGTTTTTTCTTTGAGATCAGAGCAGTTTTTTCCAGGTATGGAGAGAGATGGGCTTTTCCAGCAATGGACTTCTTGAAATGTGTAAGTAGGGAAAAGTTTAAATACTTTGTTTTCCTTGTTTGGAGGTTTGGAAATCATGTCTGAACTGGTTAATTGTTTTTCTCTTTGGCTATGTCTACACTACATGCGTCTTGTGCAAGAAGCCTTTTGCGCAAGAGTTTTTGCTCAAAAACTTCTTGCGCAAGAGCACGTCCACACCTCAAAGCACATCGCAAAGCAACATGCTTTTGCGCAAGAGAGCGTCCGCACTGCATGGATGCTCTTGCGCAAGAAAGCTCTGATGGCCATTTTTTGGATTGGGGTTTCTTGCACAAGAACTCTTTTGGAGAGTCCACACTTGCCTTCTTGCGCAATAGCTATAGTGCTAAAAGCAGTTATGCCTCAGAAAAGGAGGTTTACCTACGACGGGAAAAGCCCTCTGTTTTGCCGCTTAACTGCCCATTTAATTGCGCAAGAGCTCATTTGAGGTGTGGACGCTGTATAGGTTTTTGCGCAAAAACAGCTGTTTTTGTGCAAAAACCTTGTAGTGTAGACGGAGCCTTTGTAACTAAGGATTATAACTCTGGGATTTCCCTTGAGTCTATTTCATTCCATGGCTTTTTAACACCCAGTCATACACTATGCTTGCAACAGTAGTTTTGTTTTAATAATAAAAGTGTTTTCCTTTTTGTTTTGATTAACCGGTATTGGTTGATTGCTATCTTTAAGCCTGCATGCCTAAATCGTCCAGGAGGAGCAGAACCCATTGAGTGATCTGGGAAACTACAGGCACACTAGTTTGACCTCAATTATATGCAAGGTCTTAGAACAAATTTTGAAAGAGAAAGTAATTAAGGACCCAGAGGTAAAGGATAATTGGGATTGAATACAAGATGGTTATTAAAAGGTAGATTGTGCCAGACCAACATGATGTCATTCTTTACGATAATGTTGTTGTGTTTTTTGTTTTTTGTTTGTTTTTTTTATGACAAAGAAAATGCAGTAAGTCACATCTACTTGGATTTTGGTAAGGCATTTCATACAGTTCGACGTGGGAAAATATTAAATTACAAAAGATGGAGATTACTATGAGAATTGAAAGTTGGGTGAGGAAGAGACTAAAGGGGTGAGGGCTACAAAAACAATCCAAAATAAAAGAAAAATGCAAAATCATCCTCCTGATGGCAATTGCTAGTTGTTGGTTTTCTAATTTACATAAATCCTCAGGACATAAAAAGTAGAATAAAGAACTTAATTTGATGTCATGCAGTTTGAGGAAAGTAAACAAGGCAAGAAGCAAATGAACTTGACTAAATAATTATGAATTCCATATGGCAAACTCATTTGATAAGTATAAAGGAAATATATACAGATAAAATATTCAGCCTAGTAAATAACAGCTTTTAAAGCAACAAATATTCAGTTAACAAATGCAGCTTCAAAAGTTAATGTCTGACCATTAATGTGAAGGCTAAAGTGCTCTAATT